GAGATTAAAATTAGCCCAATTGTCTTTTACATTAAATTAACTATTGAATGTGTTTAGTTGAATAGTAAAGGGGTTTAACGTTAGTGGCAGGTTGTGTGTGAGAGAGAATAAATAGAGACAGCCCAATATTTAAAAAAATTGTTATTCTTTCCCCCCACATATTTAGCATATTTCGCAACTTTCCGCATATTTCGCAACTTCCCGCAATTTCACCGCATAAAATCACATAAAAACCCCGCATGTTTAATCGCATAATCAAGGATTTTAGCCCGCGTTTTTCTGGAGGGTCTAATCTAGCTCTCTGATTAAAATATCACCCAACTGGAAATGTACCAGAAAAAAAGAAAGAAAAAAAGACTTTAATAAGGTCTCAGTATGTTGCCGTATTATCAGCGGCCGGATCTCATCGCAGTAATTATCTGTCTTTAGAGAAAGGAAGTCTCTTTACTAATTACAAGACAGCACTAACATCTCCATGAGAATACATTCATTACTGTCTGATCGGCATTCAGGAAAACTGTAATGAGTCTGACAAAGATCCTCAAAACAAGCCGTGCACTTTGATCACAATCTCTCACATTTAGTCAAAACATTTACAGGGAACGTCGACAATGTCATATGTTTCCAGATAAATTGTTCACATTTGAACAGAGGTGGGAAGTAACGAAGTACATTTACTTAAGTACAATTTTGAGATACTTGTACTTTACTTGAGTATTTCTATTGTTTGCTAGTTTTAACTTCTTCTCCACTACATTTCAGAGGTTTAATCGTGTACTTTTACTCCACTACATGTATGTAATACCTTTAGTTACTTTCCAGATGTGGATGAATGATGTGAAATATAATCAGCTCTTAAATCAGACATGAGTTCCACCTGGAGTAAATCCACAAGCTACCCTGCAGTATACAAAGTCATTCAAACTAGCTGCACCTTTACCAGCTTTGAGAACACTTTCATGATCAATCATTATAAAACACATCATATATATTATTCTGAAATGGACCAATCTGCAATGACTACTTTTACTTTTGGTACATTAAGTATAATTTGATGCTAATACTTGTACTTTTACTTGAGTAACATTTTGAATGCAGGACTTGTACTTGTAACTTCAAGTATTCCTACACTCTGGTACTTCTACTTCTACTCAAGTGCAAGACATGAGTACTTCTACTTTTACTTATTAAGTACAAGATCTGAGTACTTCTACGTTTACTCAAGTACAATATCTGAGTACTTCTACTTTGACTGACGTACAATATCTAAGTACTTCTACTTTTACTCAAGTACAAGATCTGAGTACTTCTACTTTTACTCAAGTACAAGATCTGAGTACTTCTACTTTTACTGAAGTACAATATCTAAGTACTTTTACTCAAGTACAAGATCTGAGTACTTCTACTTTTACTCTGAGTACTTCTACTTTTACTCAAGTACAATATCTGAGTACTTCTACTTTGACTGAAGTACAATATCTAAGTACTTCTACTTTTACTCAAGTACAAGATCTGAGTACTTCTACTTTTACTCAAGTACAAGATCTGAGTACTTCTACTTTTGCTTAAGTACAATATCTAAGTACTTCTACTTTTACTCAAGTACAAGATCTGAGTACTTTTACTCTGAGTACTTCTACGTTTACTCAATTACAAGATCTGAGTACTTCTCCCACTTTTGAGTTGTCATATTGAGTGTCGTTTTTTTTAAACAACTCAATAAAGTAAGAAAGGGTTTGTCATTAAAAGATATTTTGCCAACATATCTAAACATCTACATGCATTATCTGACACAATTCATGAGAAAATATCTTAAAAGATGTCTTCAAATCAAATACAAAGACACTCAGACACGATGGCGTAGAGGAATACTTCATTTATTGCAGAAAGCAGTCCAGTCATCAGGAATGAAATGAGGAATGCAGCAAACAGCCTGAAATCACCTCAAGCCTTCACACTACTCTCTCTAGACTTTCAGTTTGAATGTTTCAACAAAAAAACGAATTCACATCAACAAAAACCTTCTGCTGTCTTTCTGGATCAGCATGGTAGTGCGGAGTATCTGCTTGACATTGTACCAAAGGTAGAATGACTGCTGCAGTGTGATGCATTACACAGTAACACAGCACGGTGCTGAAGAGCCCCCTCAGTGAAAGCATGGAGAGGAACCACAGCACGATATCATACAGCACTCAGGATTGTAGCGGGGGTTATCACACGGGGAGTAAGAGACACA